CACCCCCTGCAATACAACAATAACAACAACAAAAAGAAAAACAAAAAAAAAACAAGCCACCACCTCACGTTCAGAGCCGAAGGAGTCTGTGCAAAGACTAGCCTAGGAGACATCCTCAGCGAACAAAAGGGTTTCTCTGTCTGGGGAGCAGGCAAAGGTAAAGACATATTTGGGGCCTTAGCGGTCCTGCTACAATCCATGGCAACTTCAGTGATTTATTTGTGTTATTTTGGGTTTGTTTGGGGTTGGATTTATTTTTTCCTCGACAAAAATAGTCTGAATGCTGGTAATATGTGTATATGGAAACGGATAAATTACCAGCTCAGCAACCACCCCTGAGCCCGGTGTAAGAGAAAGAGAGGAAAAGTCTGTGGCACCTGAGCTGCTTAGGCAATTCTTTGCAACATCGAGCCTAAAGGAGAGATCTCAGAGCGAGTGCTTGCTTAAACTAAGTCTGGAGAGACATATATCAAGGCTACCCTTTTCAGGAATTATTATGCATCACGCTTATCTAATTAATGCTTATTATCCAACCTCAAACTCTGACATGGTGAGATTGTGCTTTCCTCCAACTGGATTTGTCTTTTTCCTCCTTTCAGTACACTGACAGAAGATTTTTTTTTTTTTTACATTGCAAACAAAATAGTACTTCATGTACGTGCATTGGATTTCCTACGGTATACAACCAGTTACAAGTGGTAAATAATAAATAATTTTCTTTGTCAGCTGCAGCAGATGCTGCACTTTTAAGTTGTTTAGGCACAAGTACACAGAATGGGGTGTCTAGGCTTCAAGAACTTAAATCACACCTATTGCATTTTATTATTTCTGATAGGTTAGTTGAAAGAAAGTTTTGTTTTTTAGTATTTTTGCATCACTTGTTCTAATGACAATAGAGTAAAGAAAATGGGGGAGGGTAGGACTTCCAAGTGGTGGTATCATCTCTTCATCCCCAAACAAAGCAGTCGTTTTCTCATAGTGATGATTAATTTTGAATTGCAGGAGTGAGAGTGAAAGCCAAGAATATCAGAGAGATTTCTCCTTCTCCCCCACATGGTGCAGAGCTGGGTGTCCSATCTCTCATCCTTAACCTTTCACTTCTCTGTCTTTTCTGCAGATCTGTTTGCATCTGTTTACAGATTACTTATTTTTGGGAAATTCCTTCTTCCTTCCCTTATTCTTTTAGCACGACAAATGCACTGCTTCCAAGAATTCAGGTTTTCTATTGCTTCTTTATTCCCTCCCGTCATTTTTTTTTCTTTTTCTTCCTCTTTTTCTGTCTTTCTGAGATAAACTCTTTAAAGCGTTTGTGATAACATCTCCGACCTAGAGATTATTTTTCATTGGGCCTATTGTGAGCGCTCGCCGATTTGTTGCACTGCTGCAGAGCTCAGTTTAGGCTACAAACGTAACAAATGAACAACTTGTCCTCTGCAGACTCACCGCGGGATCCAATTAGTTCCTAAACCTTTTGCACAAGTTTTCTAATTATTTTCAAGAGTTGTGGCCTTTATAGGCTTCCCTAAACTCATCAAGCCACCAATTCTGTTTAGGATTAAATGGTTCTTAAAATTACTAGCAGCGTTGCCCCCTTGAAACTAATGGATCGATTCTCCGGGCGACGGAGCTTTCTTAGGGACGCCTACGTGGGTAATTGGGTTTCAGCACTGAAAGAAAAATAGCTCGGTTTCAAAACTTTACATTTAAGTGCATCCATACAGGTTTGATTTGCTTATTTGTTTCTTTTTTCTTTCGTTTTTTTTTAAACCCCCCCCCCCCCAAAAAAACGTTTAAATATCGGTATGCAAGGCAGGGCGTCACGTGACCCCCCGGCGCCCTGCCTCCCYAGCATGGACTGCGACTTCACCTCACCGTGCTCGGCTCCTGCCCCCCCGCGCCTGGCCGAAGGGGCAGAGCAGAGAACCGCCTGCCAAAAAATACCGCTACTTTCACAATACCGAAAGCCCAAGTGTTTGCAGCACCAAAAGTATGCAAATACATATAGCCCAGATACTTCCGGAAGAGTGCTCCTTTAAGATAAGTGTTATATTTTATACACATACATATCATAGCTTACTAAACAATCATATGATGGCTAATATGTGTATGTATACACACACACGTATCCTTTGCTAACATATCTCGAGTCATCGCAGAGACGAAATTAATTTCTTTCGGGAGACCAAGTCTTTGAATGCATTTCAGAGATTGCAGGAAGAACACGTACTACATATAATAATGCACCGTGGCTTTTTCCCAATGTATGCTTACATACTTAAATTGTATAGGTATGTATGTGTATATACATACACATGCATATTCAGCGTAAGGCAGTTTTTATTAAGACACCCTACCTCCTACTAGCAATTTTTAAGCAGAGTTTTTAAGAGTTCTGCCCCAAAACGGACATCAAAATAGTGGCCATGGTGTTTAATTAAATATCCTGATCTTATACATTTGAAAATACTGCAGTTAAAAGACAGTATGGGAGGGGGCGGGGGAAGTAAGAAAGAAGCATGTGAAAAATGGTGGACTGTGTAATAAGCAGCGCTCTGATCTCACCATAACTTTAAAGCCTCTGCCACATTAGGGTTAATAAAAGAGACAAAAAAACTATCAAGTATATATGAATTTAGCCTATTTTTTTATTTCTGTGTGTTCATAGTAAACATTTTTGTAAGTGACAAACACGGGCATATGACCACAGTATCACAATCAAGAAATTTTAAGACGACATTAACAATCACTCAAATTTATGCGGCTTTTGCGCAACACAGGTTACATATTTGCAAGGTTTACCTATAAGTACAATAGGTATTAACATTTCACTACATTTAGAAAAAAAAATAAAGGTGACCTGTTAGTGACCACATACATCAAAATATACACAACACAAACTGAAGGCAATCATTAATTTTGTCCCCTTCTGATTCATTTGAACGGGCAGTGCTGCAAACTGAAATAATGTTGCTGTTTTTTTAAATTACTTCGTACACTGAGTGCATTTTCTAAAACCCAATCTTTGGTCTAAAAGTAAACAAACAAACAAATGAA